GACACTTTCTAAACAAAATTCTTTGGTTTTTGTTCAAAATGAGTTTATTTTGAAACGTCCTTTAATTTTATTTTAAAATAAACATTAAAAATGCTCAAATCAAAATAAAATGTTTTGTTTGACTTGAAACCATTTTTTCATTTTTTTTTATTTCTTTTCAGAATTGCCAGCGAACCAAAAAGTCTGTTAGCCCATCTCTACTTAACACATGTATTCAATTAAGGGAGTATTATAACTAAGGCTGAGATTTTGTCTCTGATATTTTTAGTAAAAATCAGGGACAGGTCACGGGCAATAAAGAAAAATTCATGGAAGCCCGTGACCTGTTCCTGACTTTTGCTAAAAAAATATCCATGACCAAATGGGAAGGGGCTGGGCAGATGCCGGGTGGCTGTGAGTTCCAGGGCGGCCCCCAACTGCGGCCGGAGAGCTGCAGGGTTCCCCCACTTCCCCTCCCATGGCGGCCGGGGAGCTGCAGGGATCCCCCCCTGCCCACAGCAGCTGGGAGCTTGGGGACACTGCTTCCTCAGGTGGCAGGGGTACCTCACAGCTTCCTGCCACTGTGGGACCCTGCCGCTCCCAGCCAACAGGGCTGAATTCATAGATTCTGTGACCTCCGTGACTAAATCGGAGCCTTAATTATAACATGTAGGCCCACTGCTTGTTGCTGTGGGACCCTCACTATATTATTCTTCTGTAGGGCTGCTCTCAGCTCCTATTAAAGTCTATTATAAACTCTCCCTGTGCCTAGCACCGTAACATCTTGTGACCCACATACTCCCACTGCTCTCATCCTCATTTTCCCTCCCTTCTTCAGAGCTTTATGCCATTTTCTTCTGCCTTTCCTTGTAATCCTTTTGTCTGTTAGCCTCTGCAGAGTGGACAGCAGCACCGTGTGAATGTCACTGTCAAAATCGAGGAGAACTTAAAAGCCTGTTGCAATTACAAAGTACAGGTAGGATCTCAATTCTTTTCACTCAAGGGAGGAGAGGGGGAGTGGTGAACAATCTCTGAATATTAGGTTGTTTGTACAACACGGAGCTCTGTCCATGACTAATCCCTAGTTGCCCAGGAAAAATTATGTACACTTCTGAAAGAACATCATACACATCGATGAATTCTCTGTAGACAGTGGTTCGTCCTTACCTCATTTTCCCCATACTAATCACTCCTGAGAGAGACTGGGACTGACATAGCTGTAGGCACCTCTAATGGCCAGTTCTTGTCTGTGTATATGGAGTAGTCCCAGAATCTGTAATCCTTTAACATCTTGAAGAGAAAATGGGATTATAATCTTTGTCTCGAGACAGGGTAAAGCAAGTTAGTTACTTCCAGTACTGTTTTCTGATTTCCTGATTTGTTTCAACTCCAGATTCAACCATTCTTTACCATTTGTGGCACCGACTGTTTGAGACATTCTGCTGTCATCCCATGTCCCTCAGTTGCTCCACGTGAGGACTCCTTTCTTCTACATTAGATTTGCATTATTTTATAGGTGATAGCTGAGCCTTGATCTAACTTTCTGTTCTATGTTTGATTCCTTTGCAGCTACATATCCTGCAGGTAAGACAATAACTCATTCCTATTCCTATTAAAATCTTCCTTTGTGGTTATTTTACTCTGTATGTAGTATAGATAATAAACTAACTTTGCTTGCATGTGAGACAATACATGCAAGGTGTGGGATTATTCTAAGTAGTCACCCTGCTACACACAGGCTTTAGGTGTGTTCACTCCAGAATGCAGAAATCTAACAGAGCTGCCTTATTTTGTATTAAAAGAGAGAGCTTGTATACGATATATATAATGTGCATCTTTTCTTAAAGGAACTACTTGTTTAGAAGTATGTCTCTTAAAAGCAAAGCAATGTGTGGTCAGGGGGAGGGTGACTTACTTTCTGTTTTGCTCAGCAGTTTGAATTTACACAGTAAAAGCTGCATGTGACATACAAGGGCACAATGCAGACTAATTAGCAGCTGTGTCATCCCTGACCAGCAACATTGGGTGCCTTACAATGCCTTGATGAAGTAGGTCACAGTCTTCCAGCACACAAGCCACACCGACTGTCTGTGTGTAACTGCAGCCTACCAGCCACACTGGGGTTATACTCTGCCTCTCACTAGCCTTGGTTATTCTGCATGGTGACCCCAACACACATGCCAGTCTTAGATTTCTCCCCCAAGAAATGTATGTCCTGTACAGTCCAGCCCTCTCCTGGACAATATGTTATATTTAAAGTCCCTTATCTCTTTAAAGGAATAATATGCACACAACTTGCCACCCCAAATGGAGTTTCCCAGACAATTCAATTAAAACACACTGCATTAGATAAAACAATAAAACAAGTTTATTAACTACAAAGAGAGATTTTAAGTAAGCACAAGTAATTAGGCATAAGTCAAAATGGTTACAAGAAAAATAAAGACACAATGCAACTGATGCCTAATTTAACAGACTATGTTAGATTCAAAGCACAGTTTTCTCACCACATGCCTTCAGCAGTCTTACTGTTGACCAAACTTCTTGGGTCAAGGACCTCTTCTTCCCGAATCTAGCAAATGCTTCCTTTGTTGCTTCAGGTGCTGGGAATGGGCAGGGGGCATGTTTGTCCTTCCTTTTTATAGTTTCAGTCCCCCACTTGAAAAACATTTCCAGCTGCATACCAGGAGACAAAAGGTGTATGGGGAAGGATGTTCCATGCTGCTTTTTCCTCACCTGTTGGAGATTCTTTTGTTTCTTTTCCTGCTTGATGTCTGTTTGCTTTGCTTAATATGCATTTAAGCAGCAAACAGGCCTGTCTTAAACAAAGGAATATTTGCCAACTTCTGCTTGGAGCATGTGGTGTTAACACCACACAGTGGAATCTTATAAAATCACAGACTGTTGCCACACACATTTTATCAGGACAGTACTGATCAGCAAACGATGAATTTTCAAATTATACCTTACTAAACATGCCTTGCACAAAAATTATTAGTCATGTGTAGGGTGTGGACACAGGAACATTCTGTCACAGCTTGTCACATATTTTAATATATATGTGTACAGTTTGGGTGGTTTTTTCTACTGTTTAAAACCCTCTTATCAGGCTGTGATAGCTCAAGCAGCTAAATGGAATCTTTCCCAAATTTCCAAAAGAATTTGCCTCTGGGCTGAACAAACATGAGACATTTCATCCCAAAGGAGTTTTTAAAAAAAAAAAAAAGAGAGAGAAAGTTAAGCATCTGAAAATAGGAGTTTAAGCGTTCTCAGCCATAACTGCAGTGTTGCTACTTTGGTGCTATAAGGAGGAATTAGTGGGTTTCCTTCTTCCTGCTACTTCTCAGTATTTTTGGGGACAGGGTGCTGCTGTTCAGCTGACTTCTGGTGGTCAGTACAGCATTTTGTTGCTGGGTGAGACTCCTTGGCCATGTAAAGTTGTGTCTTATTCTGCTCTTCTTGTGCCATAGATGATCCGATTATGTGGCTATACTGGTGTATCACTGGCATCTGCATTTTACTGGTGGGATCAGTCATAGCTGGTGCTATTTACATGACCCGAAGACAAGTAGGTAAGGACGATGTCAGCTGGGGAGTGAGACTCAGAGGCACGTTTATGCCGCTCCCTCATTTCTCTTCATTTACTTCCCTGAATCCTTGTGTGATGCTCTGCGATCAGGGAACTGCCAGTACAAACTTTTCCTTCAGCCCACTGTAAGGTGTTTGCTTTCTGGTCTTTGAAGGGCACAATCTAAAAACATAATTCAAATTTCTTCAGATTTGACCATGTATTTTTTTCTCTTTCAGGCCGCCAGCACAGGAAATATAGCAGCCATGGTAAGAGAGACTTTCTATGCTGTAGGAGAGTCCCTTCATGCTGCACATTCTAGGAACCTGCCTTAACTGCCCTTTGGAGTCTAGACTAGGATTAATTTGCTATTGATGTTTCTTGATACCAAAATATTGCTCTGCAACTTTAAAGCTGTTCTCTCTAACCAGAAGGGACTTATGGGACACTAGCAGCCTTGGACAGAGAACAACCCAGGTGTGAAGCTTTTGCCTTCCCCCAGGGGGCTGCTGCTTTATCTAATGAAATCCTTTAGAAACTATGGATCTGCAAATGAGATGAGAATGGGCTGTGACTACATTTGTCCATCTGTGTGTCCTAGAGCTAAGCTTGATTGCTTGGGGACCTGTCAGGACAGGGAGCTCAGCTTTCGCTTGCGGGCTTGAGGAGGGCTTTTAGAGTTGCTTGGCTTTTTCACTAGAATAAAATGGTGGCTGAGAGAGCGCTCTTTCTTTTTTTTTGCTTGTGGTAGATCATCAGGAGAGGGAGGAGGGGCCATGTCAAAGGGCCATGTCTCTGGCTTTGTGGAGGTTGGATCTTGCCATGTTGTATTTATCCGTGTGGTGTGTCCTTGGTCAGTTAATTGCTTCTGGATTACCCAGATACTGCTTCAGCAAATGTTATTGGAATGAACAATTGTACTTTTTTCACCTTTTTTCAGAGCTGTTACCTCCACAGCTGACTCCACCATCCCTGAGGCCCCGGAAGGTTTGGATTGTGTACTCTGCTGACCACCCACTCTATGTAGATGTGGTACTGAAGTTTGCCCAGTTCTTGATCACAGTCTGTGGTACTGAGGTAGTCCTGGATCTGCTGGAAAAGCGTCAGATTTCAGAGATCGGGGCCTTACCCTGGCTTACTCGACAGAAAAAAGAAATGGAAGAACTATCTTCAAAGATCATCATTTTGTGTTCTCGGGGCACCCGGGCCAAATGGCAGGCTATGCTTGGGAAGGAGGGAACAGCTGTCTCTCTCAAGCAAGATCAATGGCAGCCTACTGGAGACATGTTCACTCCAGCCTTGAATTTGATCCTACCAGACTTCAAGAAACCAGCTTGTTTTGGCATGTATATAGTCTGCTATTTTGAGGGCATAAGTGAGGATAAGGATATTCCTGACCCATTCAATGTCACATCCAAGTACCAGCTGATGGACAGGTTTGAGGACATTTATTTTCTGATCCAGGATATGGAGAAGTTTGAACCAGGGCGGATCCATCAAATCCAGGAGATCACCGCTGAAAACTATGCTGAAAACTCCAATGGCTGGAAGTTGAAGGAGGCAGTACAGACATTCCAGGAATGGCAGGCAAAGTACCCTGATTGGTTTGAGAGAGAGAACACCTGCTCAGAAGATGAGTCTCTGGATAAGGAAATACTGGAAGAATTCATGCCGGGTAATGGAGAGGTAATTATAAAACAGCAGCTGCATGTTCAAGAGCCTGATCCCAATGGCTGTTGTGCAGTTAGCCTCCATGTGAATGAAGATGAGGGTGGAAATTTTAAACTGCAGCTTCAGCTTAATCCACAGGGGAATCCAACTTCCCAGACCCTGATGATTCCCATGGATGAGGCACCTCCAGTTCAGATGGTGGAGCCAATTTCTATTACAGGAGGTAAAAATGCAACTAGTCATCAGGTGCTGACCAACACAGATTGGATGGAAGGAATCCCTCTGCTGGAGACTAGTGTCCCAATGAGGAACAGCATCATCCTTCATGATGATTTTGATGTCCCATCATCAGACAACCAGAGATCTGCAGACCACCTCCCAAATGAAATGAGGCAGCAGCTGGAGGGGTTAATGTACTCTCTTTACCAGCAAAGCCTCATTCCTTCTGAGCCATCTCTCTGTCAAGAAGATGTTGAAGAGCAGCAGCAGCAGATGGCTTTCAATAACCCATGCAAAGATCAGAGACAGTCAGTACAATCAGACCAGGGCTACATCTCCAGATGTTCCCCTTTGCCTCCTGATGATCTGGTGGAGGAAGAGGAAGAGGAGGACCAAGAACAGGAAAACAAGATGCCTTCTCAGTGTCTCTCTCCAGAGGTCTTGGACAGTCTAAAGAGTCTCCAACAGAAGCTGCTTTTCCAGGAAATTCAGCAGAAATCTGTCTGGGAGCACATGGGTGGGATGATGGACACAGGTCATTGTGCAGCGGACTCTTAGACTCTCTGTCCAGGACCATTCCATTTGAAAAATAGGGCTGGAGGGTGGTAGTGTGTATAATTTCAGCACTCTTCTTCAAGCAGTCTCCTCATCCTTGTAAAACAAGGGTCCTATGTTCTAATCAGTAGGAAATCTCTAACTGATGCATATCACCCGGAGGCAGACTTGCCAAGTGAATACAGTATGGTCCACCTACCTATACCTCTTAAAACACAACTGTTACCTCCTAATCTATCTCTGAATGGAGGAAGATGACAGCAATGTTAGTCCCCTGCATGTGCTGTGGAGGAATTGGTACTAAATCTGTTACTCCATAAGAAATCTACTGTGTGTAGAATCCACTGTGAACTAATTACAGGCAAATTGTGGTCCATCAGGCTGCATCTCTCAGGATGCCTGTTACACCATCATTCCAGCTTATTGTAGAGGACTAAAGTCACAGTTATGGAGGAGAGGGTAAAGACTCTGATTCTGATATCAGTTTATTAGCTAAGCTTTATTGTAAATGCTGTAGTAAGTAATTTATACCTCAGATCACAACCAGTGATGACTAGGGCCCTACCAAATTCACTGTCCATTATGGTCAATTTCATGGCCACAGGATTTGAAGACTGGTAAATTTCACATTTTCAGATGTTTAAATCTGAAATTTGTGTTGTAACCGTGGGGGTCCCGACCCAAAGCGATTTGTGTGCGTTGGGGGGGGAGGGGTGTCGCAAACCTGTTGTAGGGGAGGTCTTGGGATTGCCACCCTCACTTCTGTGCTGCCTTCAGAGCTGGACTGTCCTCCCCTGCACAGCCAGAGCTAGGAGCCCTCTTTGCTGGGGTGCTCCCAGCAGCACATGGCAGATCGGACACAACTCCACAAGCCTCCTCCAGCTGCAGGAACCTCTGGGACTACTGCCCAGTCCCAGAGAGCACCCTACAGCAGGTGGAGGCACCTGGAGGTGGGTCTGGTCTCTTCCCCACCCGCCTCCCCAGAGCAGCTGTGCAGGAGGAGATGGACAAGTCCTGTCCCTCCCCTGCCCACCCAGAGCTAAGAGCCCCCTTTGCTGGGGCGCTCCTAGGAACAAGGGGACATCAGATTTCACAGGAAAGGGCTTATTTCACAGTCCATGACATGTTTTTTCATGCCATTAAATTGATAGGGCCCTAGTGATGACAGATCCCGGTAGACCCACTTGTGGTAGTACCTGAGTGCTGGGATTTTCTAATGCATTACACATGTTGGCATTGCCATACGTGCCTGGCCGTTAAGCAGCATAGCAGGATGCTGAGCAATAATTGGGATGAACATTTTTAAGTGGGTAGTTTTGTCTCCTTGGTACTTTCCCCTCAACCCATGATGAGTGGAAGGCACTTGAAAAGCAGCAACACCAAAAGAAATGTAAGCTTGGTGGTCAGAAAATGGGATAGGAGCTTGCAGTGTAATTACAGCAGAAAAAAAGAATGTGCTTTGGGGCTGCATATGGTCTTCACATCATAGATCAGGGAGGAAATGTGTTTTTTCTGTTGCACTGATCGTTCCAACCAGGATATTGTGTTCATTTCTGGGCATCTCAATATCAGGAAGATTTCAAATTGGAGATATGGTGAGAAAAGCAGTAAACACAATTAAGGGTCTGAAAGACTGTTTGGAAGAAAAATTTAGTAGTAAACAGGGCTGTCAATCACATTTAATGGCTGTGATTAACTGAAAACAAAATTAACATGTTAAGCCTGTGGCAGGGGAGCTGAAAAAGCCTCAGCCTGCAGCTCCACGGGCAGCAGGGGAAGGATTAAAAGAGCCCCAGAGTGCAGCTCCCCAGGCAGTGGGGGAGGGGTTGAAGTCCCAGCCCACGGCTTCCCAGGTGGCAGGAGGGCTGGAGCCCTGTGCCCTGAGGGGGCATGGGCAGCAGGTTGCATAGGCTGGGGGAGGCTCTGCCTCCCCAAACAGCCAGGCGTGGCCCCACCCCCTGCTTACCACTGCTCCCCGCGTGCTGCTCCAGTCCTCCAGCCCCTAGTGCTCTGGCTGGGGCTGCCTGCCTTCCCGCGCTCTGGGGTGGGGTGTGCTGCGGCTGCCCGTGCTCCGGGACTGGTGGGGGCTGGGGCTGTGCACTACCCGCCTTCCCAGTGCTCCGAGGCTGGAGCCGCCCATCCTGCTGACGCTCCTTTGGGGCTAGCCTGGGGCGGGACTGGGATGGTGGCCAAGGTGGGAGGGGCTCGGCTCCAGTGGGGCAGGAGGGGGGGGCCTCAGGCAGAAGGGGTTGGGGTGAGGGCTAGCCTCCCCCGGCCGGCGGTTCACGCACTGCCCATGCAAGGGAGGCTGAAGCACCGAGCGGGGTGGAAACCCAGAGCCCCCAGCCCTGATCCTATATTTGAAAATATAGAAAACCCCAAAAAATATTTACATAAATGGTATTCTATTATTGTTTAATAGTGTGATTTTAAACTGCAATTAATTGCAATTAATTTTTCTAATCACTTGACAGCCCTAGTAGTACGCATAGCTTGAACATATGTTGCCTAAGCGTGGGGAATATAACGAACAAGGGAGGGATGCTGGAGTGAAACCAATGTAAGATGATCCCTGGAGATGTAACTAGTATTAACGTAAATTTGAACAAAGGAAGTTCAGGCTAAACATTGAAAAACATTTCCTAGTAGTGGAGACTGCGGAGTCATCTCCCACAAGTAGTGCTGGAAACTTCATCAGTTGAGAGATTTCAAAACTGGTTTTAACAAACTAGGAGAACACTCTGTAGTGAACAATCCAGCATTGTCCCTTGTGGGATCGGCTAGATAGAAAAGTAAACCTATTTAAAGCTGGAGATTACCCCATGCACTGTGGCAGCTTGTTCAACTCAGCCAATCAGGGAATGGCTTTTTGAGGAGTAAAAGCCCCCAATCCAAACTGCATTTTTTTCCTCTCCCATTTTGGGATCATACAAGACTCCTGCCTTTCCACCTTGCTAATTGCACATGTTGGACAACAAGATGTAAACTTATGTCTTGCATTTACATGAAGCATTTGTTCATTTCTGAGATGGCTAACTGATTTTCTTCAGCCTATGCTGATTACATCTGAACAACTTCAAATATTTTGTTTTTTCTATGATTTATACATTGACTTTTCAAATGAAAGTTTTGAGTAGCTATTACTCCACATTGCCACTTCTGCCTGTGCAACCAATACAATGATGTATTTTTATAACTGATTGTATCTTGTTTTTTTCTAATTTTCTTTTTTAATTAAAGGAATAATATACTTTCAGAAGATGCTCACACTGAAATGATTAAAGGATCTAGAATGTCCTCCTTCATTTGATCTTCACCTATGCAGGACACTTCCCCCTTGAACGCAAAACAAAGCACTGAAGTATGAAATTGAGCCAGTCATGAAATGCCAAAATGTTCAGGAACAGGGGTGGCCACCTGGGACACGGGAGCGGGAGGGAAACCCCTCATTGAAAGTTGTCTTCCTCACGACCATACTTGCCATCAGCAGTCAAAATTTGTCTGTGGGATTTGGTTGGCTGAATGTAGGACCATCAGCATCCGGAACTGTCTGTCTGTGCCTGTACAGCCACAAAGCAGCAAACAGAAAAGTTCCTGCAAATAACAATGCTCGGGACCAGGAGCTGTCTTCATTCTATGTTTTGTATAGGACCAAACATGTGGGTTGGGGCTAAACAAATAAATAGCACTGGGCTCAACATGCTCTACGATCATTAGCCCTATGGCCACTGAGGGGGAAATAAGTGTTACTGCTCTTAGAGATGGGGAAAGTAAGGTGCCGGAGGTGCCTTTTTTAATACTTTTGCTTCATTGTAAGCCCATGAAGACTTCACAATTACCTGTATGGTTTTTGTTTGTTTTGGTAAGTCCTTTTCAAGAAATGTCTTAAAATGTGCTGAGCTCAGAATAGAAGTGCTGCCTGAACTGTGTTCTTGACTTGCTTATACCCTTCTCAAGTAGTTGTCCTTTTGCGTTGAAATTTCTCATTTGGCTCTGAGTGAGGAAGTGAAGGTTGAAGAAAATCCATTGTCGCTTTTAAGTAATCAAAGGGGGAGGGCAAATAGTTTGAGTGAACGTTTTAATGTAAACGTGCCCTGCAATACCCATATCAATACACTGATAAGAAACTCAAAGGGAAAGACACACACTTGGTCACAAATGTCCAATTTTATTTTAAGAACAATCTCATTTATTAAAAAATACAAACTCAGATTGATGCTAGTGGGGATGCCAAGCTGCCTTGTGCCACAGGCTGTATCTTTTCTCTAACTTCATTTTCCCCTCCCTCGGGTGATCACCTCTTACTGTTTGCTAGCCTCTTAAGTGAGGGGCAGTGCCAGAACAACTCCTCCCCTAACCAGTTGAATTCTGGTGCAGGGGTAATCTGCACACTAGTGTATGACAGAATGGATGCTTAGAGGCCTTTATCTTCATATGGTAGATTGTGTTTTAGCAAAATTATTCACTTAAGCCAATAATTAGCGTAGGTAGATGTAGGCGGAGAAGGGGGCCTGCATAGAAGGTGGGGTGGGGACATAATTTTCAAATTGTGAATATACTTGTTCAGCAGAACAAGGTGGGGGATTAAAGAGAGGGGAGTTGCAGAAAGCTATGACAGGCTTATAAACAGAAAAGAAATGTAAGAGCTTTAATATTTAGGTATTGTTTCATAAGTGGTAATACAGCTGCCAATTTTGATTTCAAGGTGCTTCCGTCAATGAGATATACTAACAAAGCTGCATGTTAGCCAAACTGCTGCTAATTAGGTTGGCGGTGGGAGGAGGTCAGGACACAATGGCAGGTACTAGGAACAACTCCATATACTAAAGAGAATAAAACTTCTACAGAGCAATCTATAGCAAAATATATATATTCTGGATCTCTTCAGTATGCTCAACTTGACTGTGAATCAGAGAACAAATGTAACCTTAAGAGTAATGCACTGCTTATAAAATCTTGTCATGTTGATACTAGATTTAAAAAAAACTGCCATCTGAATAGTTAAATGTCCAATATGCCATTTTCACACCAGTGTCTGTCTGGTGGGGGAAGGCACTTGCTGTTGAAACAGCAGTTCCATTGCAATTGATATCTACGGTGAAGTAGTATCAAAGTCAGAGTTATATTAACAATTCTGCTGTGACTTCTACTGTCTGAGCTGTATGAATATGTGCCAGTGACTCACGGGGGCCAAATTCTTCATGTTTTGTATGTGAGTTTAGCATGAGTAAGAACAGCAAGGTTTAGTTCTGGCTAAGGCAGCTTTTCTCTCCATCTCTTTTTGGTAAATTGGTCTACTCTACAACGTGGCTGTTTGACTACAGGGAGTGGAGTACTCTTAGTTTAGGGTACTGATTCATTACTGTTTGAATGGTACATTGGTTTGTTCTTTGAGTATGTTAGTTTTCTGTTTAATATTGACTATTTGGTTGGGGGAATCCCTACGTGCATGCAGGCACACCTGCCAGTTCTTCCTTTTGGCCAAGAAGCTAGCATCCCCTTGACATATCTCAGGTCACAGAGGAAAAGTCCACAGTACTTAGTTTTACAATCACAGTCACTCACAGCACCAAGATTGTCCAGACAAATAAAAAGTTACTGAAGAGAAGGCCACGGGCCAGAATTAACAATTGCCCTTAACAAGCATTGTGTTCAGGGCTCAGATAAAAATAAAGCACTCGTGGGAAAGTTAAGCCTCGTTCTTTGCAGCTACATCTCCCGCTGCCTGTTCTTCCCAAGCTAATCACCCCAGCAGCTGCAGCTCTAACAGATGGACACTTTAGACCTGCCCTTTCTGAGCCAGAGCTGGGGGCTGCCATAGTGCTAGGGACAGAAGAGCCTAATGGCAATTATACAGTTCCACCCATGGGAAGCAGAGGGAAAAGTCCTCAGCCTGTAAACATTTTGTAATAACAGTGTCTTAGAGTAGGACATCTACCCTGCTCTGAGAGCAGGGAGGTAGTGGCAGCAGTTCTGGTTCTAGTGCCATGACTGCCACTGAAGCCCAAGGGTTGAAGGGAGGAATGTATGTACATGTATGGGGAAAGTCCCAAGTGTGGTGTATAAGTCCAGCACAGGCTTTGGATAGTGGTTGGTTGCACTTTGTTCCCTCTTCTAACTGGGCAGGATGGGATTATAACCCTTCCTCCAGGAATGCAGTCCTATCAAAGAGCTGTGAAGAGGAAAAGTTACCCTTCAAACCCTGGCTGGTCCTACTTCAGTTCTACTGGTTCCAGATGCAGCTACAGATGGGTAATGGGTCATGCCCTAAACTGGGCCAAACTGATTCATGGAACTTTAAAAATTAAGGACAGCTGCATTTCAACAAGACCAATTGCTTTACAATTGACTCCTCTACCCTCAACCCTTTCCCCCATGCGCATGGAGAACAGTGTGAGATACACCCTGGGACTCTTTCACAGGGAGCTCATTGTAGCACTTCACTTTCCGTGTCTGCACATTAAATGAGGTTCAGCACCTAGCCCACTCCAAGCAGCACCAAGATTCTCCTGCTGGGATAGAGGGGAACAGTTCACAGGCTGCATCCTCAGCTCTAGGGGTAGAGTGTCCACCTACCTACAGCCAGTCTTCCCAGCCTGTCTAATCTCAATGGAGGGTGCCCTTATTGTCCACATAAGAAATAAACACTGATCCTTAAAACATGCATATCCACAGAAAAACAAGACCCCCCAACACACAGATGCTGCTGCTTGAACAAGCAGGTGACCCTGTTCTCACCGGAAATAAACATCTCAATCTGGAGGGGCTTTAGGCCCTGAGCCATGTCCGTTTCAGACTCACTTGTGTCTTTAGCACATAAAGTGAGCACAAGATGCAACAAGATTCAAGCACAGAGGTAGACATTTTCAACAAGGGGAAGGGTGGCTCCCAGGATGGCTCCCCTTTACATTTGCTGGTCACCACCCTATTCTGAGAAACTCCCCCAACTGGGGGTTCAAAGTCTCTTCCTCATTTCACCTCAGTGGGTGGAAAACAGAGATGGTACTTTTGCAGGATACAAGCTTAAAAGCAAACCTCCTCTTTGTGGTCACGTACATGCAAGGAGCTAGGTCTCATCACCACTTAGTCTCTGCTAAAGTCTCTCATCATGATCATCAGGAGCTGTCAAAACTGTCCACTGGTCTCCATTGCTTAGGTGCTGAGGAATAATGAAGAAACAATGAAACCCACGTTGCCACTGAGGACATGATGCAAACATGATATGGCACACACTTTCCTGGGAAAAGCTTCTGCATTATTCCCTAGGGATAGTAAGTATGATCTCTGGGTAGACTCCACTGATGGATTTGTTCAGGGAAAAGGGAAAGAGAAATGAGGTGTTAAACTAAAAAAAAACTGTGTCCCTCACCTGCTCTTATTTGCAATGTCAGTGATGTGAGAGGACCCTGAGCAGCAGGCAGAGCAGTTCTGCCAGGGAGATGAATAACTTCCCCTAGTGTAATGGCAGTATTGCTCTGTGACTTTCAGCTGCATGGTGAGCAGTTTTGCCTGTCAGGAGCAAAGGACTGGTACGGAGAATCTGACCAGTTTAGAGTGGTAGGTAGGTAAGGCAGGGGATGGTTGGGGAACCTCCCTCTACCCTGTGCTCTCTGGGAGGTGGGTAGCCCCCTCTTTATTCCCCAGTCCCCATAGGCAGTAGTGTTAGGAGGCCTCTCAGAGACAGGGGAAGAGTAAAGAGAACCTGACCAGCTCCCAAGGCTGGGGAGGAGGCAGAGGCGTGTGGATCTCCCCTGTCTGTGCAAGGAAGTTGAGTTCATGAGGGTGGCCAGGGAGCAGGTTTAGCTGGGTAATTTCCCTCTCCCCTCAGTTCTGGAAAGTCGAGCTCACAAGATTAGGAAAAGGGTAGAATTTAGGGGGCAAGGATAGGTATGGGGGTAACCTCCTTTCCCCTCAGCACTATGTGACCAGCCATAATACTGGTACAGAAGCAAGGAGGTTGGTAGTAAGTGCAGAGGTCAGTGCTAGTTATGTAGACGCGAGGGCTTGGGGGTATGGGTATGAAGGGCAAGGGATGGAGGTAAGGTCTGGTAAAATTAAGCCCTCTGTCCATCCCCACTGCTTAGGGTTAGGTGTTACTAGGTGGCAAAGTGAGGTTGGAGGGGGCAGGTGACTAGAGGAGTGGGCGGAGGGGGCAGGGTTCCTGGGTGGGGATAGCGGAGGGGCAGGGCCGGCGGGGGCTGGTAAGTAGGGGTGAGACAAGGGTTCCTGGCCGGGGAGGGGAGAGAGGTGGGGGGGCAGGGGTCGGACGGCTCCACGGCCCCCCGCCCCCGCTCAGTTCTGGGCGCTGACCGCCAGGGTGTTGACGTAGCCGTGGGGCCCCATGTCGTTCTCGGAGATGCAGTGGCTGAGCTGGGCGGCGCCGGGGCCCGGGCCAGGGGCCGCGCTGTACTTGGCGCCCCCGGCGGCGGGGCGGAGCAGGCAGCAGGTCTCCATGGCCTCGAGGCCGCGGCAGGCCAGGAAGAAGAGGTTCTTGAGCATGAAGATGGAGAGCGGCTGCTGGTAGCGCAGCAGCAGGAGGCAGCGCAGGGCGAGCAGCGGCGCGTCCAGCAGCCCGGCGGGCAGCAGCAGGTGCAGGGCCAGGCGGGCGGCGCCGGGCGGCCGGGCGGCGCTGAGCTCGTAGAGCCAGAGCACGGGCGAGGCCAGGCAGAGGAAGTAGACGGCGATGAGCAGGTAGCGCAGCGGGCCGGGCAGCGGGGCCGGGCGGCCGGGCTGCAGCACCAGCTCCAGCAGGGTGAAGCTGTCCAGCAGGTCGAGGCAGGTGGCCAGGAAGGCGGCGGCCGCGCGGTGCTGCGGCGGGGGCTGGGGCGGCAGCAGCAACTGGCCGGCGCCGTCGGGGCCGATGGCCCGCAGCAGGCAGTAGAGCAGCGGGGCGGAGAGCGCCAGGGTGACGCGGAAGCCGGTGGTGCCCAGCGGCAGGCGCAGCTCGATCAGCTCCAGGATGGAGGTGCCCAGGATCAGCGCCGCCTTGGGGGTGAAGGCGATGGAGTAGATCAGCCAGGCCAGGTGCGCGTAGGCGAAGTCCCCTCCCCGCAGGGGGCCCCCCGCCCGGCCCGCGCCCCGGCCGCCGTGCGGGGGGTGCAGCAGCAGCGGGTGCAGCGGCGGGGGCGGAGGGTGACCCGGCGGGGGGCGCTCCCGGCGCCGGGCCCGGCTGTTGCGGCAGAAGAAGATGCCCCAGCCGGCCGCCAGCACCAGGTCGGTGGCGATCCAGCTGCACCAGTAGAGGTCGGTGACGGCGATCAGGTAAAGGTCCAGCAGCGCGCCCTGCCCCAGCAGCAGCACCAGGGACAGCGCCTTGTAGCCCCAGCGCGACCCGCCGGAGCCCCCGCCCGGCCACAGCAGCCCTCCGGCGGTCGCCGCCGCCGCCCCCCCGGCCGGGCCCGCGCCCCCGTACAGCTCCCCCGCCGTCATGCTGCAGCCCGAGCTGCTGCTGGAAGCCGGGGAGGAGGCGGCGGGGGCCGGGGCGGCCGGGGCCGACACCAGGGGTTTGCTGATGCTCTCCTCCTCCTCCTCGCCCCCGCTGCTGCTGCTGCTGCGGGCCCGGGCCGAGCCCGAGCTGGAGCCCGACACGCGCCGGCTGCGGCCGCCCAGGAAGAGGGGCTGCAGGTCGGCGGCGGGGTGAGCGGGCGGCGGCGGCGGCGGCTGGAAGGAGCCGGAGGAGGAGGAGGAGGAGCCCGAGCGCTGGTTGGAGACAGCTCGGTGCATTGTCCTCCCCGGCCCCAGAGCGAGGGGCCCGGGCCCCGGCCGCGCCCCCCGGCCGGCGGTACCGAGGGTTTGGGCCAGGGGCTGGAGGGGGCCAGCGAGAGCGGAGCCCCGGCCTGGATCCGCCGCAATCGCGGAGCGGCTCCACGGGCGAGAAGCGGACTCCGGAGAAAGCAGCGGCGGCTCCACGCGCGAGAGAGGCGGGGAGCTGCGAGGGGGCCCGCGGGGGGCGGGGAGAGGCGGAACGAGGAGACTCCCCGAGTGAGTGGCGGGGAAGCTGAAGCAAGGCTGAGCCTTCTCCGGCAGCTCGGGTGGGTGGGTGCGTGGGCTGGAGCGGAGAGAGGCTGTGCAGCCGGGAGCAGACGTGTGTGCTGAGCCCAGGGTCACTGCCTCAGCCCCCGGGGAGAGGAACCCCCCACCTGGCTGGGCTGGGAGCACAAACGCTGCAAATTGCTCCCCTTGGTCTGTAATGAACACCAGGCCCAATCCTCAATTAGCAAATGCCTCCTCCCCCTGACTGCATACACGTGCCAATGCCAATAGGTACCCCGTCACTAGGGCTGCTCCCATAGCCACATGACAATAGACAGACAGCGGAAGTCCCTAGTGCCACGGCTAGGGCCTTAAGAGCGCCACAGGGTTATTATTGATCTGGTGCAGCCAGGTTGACCGCATGACCACTGCCAGCCCATGACTGGCCACTATCCCCTACTGACCTCAGTCTGATCTTCAGCGCTCAACATGCAGGAACTTTGTCTCCAAGATAGGCAACTGACCAAAAAGGGCCTGCCGGTGGTGGCCAAGCATGACTTCAAGCCTCTTGAGGCCAGTTCTCAATGCTACATCCCTATTACTGATATAGAAAGTCAAACCATCTTATACCCAGTAGTCACTGCTGGCAATGCTTATGACATACCTCTAGCCTCCTGCTATATTGTTTAAGCAACGTCCATGTTTCAGATCCATATAAGAGGGTCGGAAGTACACAGGGTTGATAAATCCATGCTGTTTCACCTTCTTTTGGTGCCAGACCCTATGCAGATCCTTCCTGGCTGAGCCTGCTAAACCAATTCTCCTTAAGATATCTGTGCTCATTGATGATAGTTTACTGCGGATGGATGAAGTCAGCCAATAAATCTGTTAGTCTTTAAGGTGCCACCGGACTCCTTGTTTTTGTGTATACAGACTAACACGGCTACCCCCCGATACTATTTCCAGTTTGTCTGGGAGCACAGATGCTTTCTATCACAATTTTTGCACCAACACGCTGCATTTTTGTTTTTGCCCAAGAAATCCTTAGCCCAAGGGCAGCTGCCTCTTCTGGAAGCTTTCTAGTGCTTTGAGATCATTTGTGTCCTGACCAAAGATGGTAACCCAACATCAGCCACGTCAGTAAAAGAGCTTGAACCGATTGTTGGAATGATAGTTGGTTTAGGTTTGACACTAGAGCTGGGTTGAAGCAGGGATGTGACCTGGTCCCCAGCCTTGTTCTGCTGTACAAAGGATTGGCGCCTTGAACATATCACTGCAAATATTGGTATAACTGTCAGGGCAACCACATGACAAGCTTGTCTTAAATTACTTGTATAGCCCACAGGCACGCTGAAATCTGTCTGGAGCAATGACCCACCCCAGCATCTGCTGCATTTGCTCATGGGTGAAGGGAAAAAGAGGGCACCTTAGAGCCACCAGGCAGTGGTTTAGTGGTTACAGAAAGAAGTGAGTCAAGTAAACTCCATAGTTCCCAAGTAAATAGTGGGTTTACCCGAGTTTCTCCTCCCTACACGACTGCTGCAACATTTCATTTGAAGACACACGATAAAGGATTTCACCTAGCTGAAGCCTCCTTAATGGAAGGCCAAACTCAGTTTTTTCTGCCCAGAAAGTGAGCAGGTCATGCACACCGCATTCTGCCCCTCCCTCCATGCTCTGTTTTGCGCTAATATGTATGCTTTTTCTTTGAGTAGCCACTGCATAGTCACACTTAAGGGGCTTGACGCCTCCTACTGTGGAATCTTCTGGCCTGCAGTGGTCATTGGGCCCCTCACCCCCTCCACAAGGATACCCAGGATGGTAAAGGGGGGGGGGGAGTGTCAGTTTCTTTGTAACCGCTGAAGGTGCAGAGCTGACACTCTTCCTCATCAGTTTTCTTTCTTGCTTTTCTTCTGCCCTCTTAGGACTATTTTTGGTCTAGTTCGTTAGCTTGGCAAGTACAGTACTACAAATTTCTTTATCTAGACAAACAAAGAGGAAATGTTACCCAGCCAGCATGCGTAGCATCTGAACCCACAGATGCAGGAGGACCACCTCACAAACCCCTATGGTTGAGGGAGGCTCCCCAGGCCCATTCGACTAAGTCTGGCAATGTGTAAGTCCAGCATAGGCTTTAGAGTTCTGCTAGCTTAAGTGGCTGTGTCCTTGGCTTAAGCAGTGGCCTGGTCCCTGGATTTTATCCAGCTGAGCCTAGCACTCAGATTCTGGCACAGTCAACACAGCCCCAGGGTCCCCAGATTCCTCTGGGCCATCGTCGCTTGGTGCCAAGGTGCCTGTACCAAAGACATGGCAGCAAAGTATCCAGCTCTATGCAAGCTAGTGCCAAGGTTCTGACATCATTGACTCTAGTGAATCAGAAGTCATTGGGTGCACACCATGAGTGTCACTAAGGTCCCCAGATCCATCCAAGCTGAGTCCAGAGCCAAGTGGTTCACCATGATCTCTGGTGAACCACTTGATGAAGTGGTCTGCCTGTTATATATGGCATACTGAGAGAGTTCTGGGGACATTGAGTCAAGATTTTGGCATTAGTGACCAGTATACCACTTGCCTGAAGTGTCCAGCATCAGTAAAAGTGGTTTTCGGTCCCTAGATGTTTGGGATCCTCAACTGAGATAAAGGACACCAGTTGCTTGGGATTACTGGTGAGTAGTGCTTTTCCTCAGAGATGCAGCAGGTGAAAAATTGCTGCCTATGACATTGGCATTATATCAATCACTTATTTTAATGAGACAAACTCTGTTATATCAGGCCAACTAGTTACAAGTATCCATCTATTAGCAGCAATTTTAAAAAGGGAGCAAACCCTGGTATCCTGACCTCCTGTACCTCAAATGTCAGCATAGTCATGCATGTATCTGTATTCATGTTGTAGCTGAACTTTGGTCCATAAACAGATGCCATAATAGTGTAACTGGGTAATACCTTTTATCCAGGTTGTGTCTGTGGCCACCATATGACTGCTTATAAAAGATACCACCCATTCTTGATATTACTTATACCTGAGCTACTTATGGTTCTGGTCATTCAAGATGTAAAAGGCAAAAGTAACACATGCGTATCATGGAATTAATAGAATCATAGACTATCGGGGTTGGAAGGGACCTCAGGAGGTCATCTAGTCCAACCCCCTTCTCACCTCCCTTAAATCAAAAGTATTATTTCCAGATAGTGGACTTGGATGGTCACTTTGTTCGCTAGCCTTTTCAAGGTTTGTGGACTCTGTAGAATAAACTATGTCCAGGCAGATTCTTTGAACAGAGTTTTGTACACTGACACAAATGTCTTAGTTAGCTCTCAGTTGGGCATTATGTGTGCTGTAAGGGGCGAAAGTCTCACCCGAGTCTCACAATTGTTTCCAGTTCTGAGAGCAAACATGACACAGTGTCGTACTTTGACTGGAATCAGGAGAACCTCTGTACATTCCCTCCGATACTGTTGGTTCAGGAGCTCTGCAGATCAGATGGGATGGAGCCAAGGTTTTGTCACTAACCGTAACTATTCTTGGCAGCATTGTTTTCAGACAACCTAGGTATAATGTTAGCACCACTGTCAAATGGATCTTTGTCTTCAGATTAGGGTAAGTTTACCCACCTGAGCATGAATTTTCTCAGGTTGACACCCTGACTTTTGTTTCGCTGACAGGCTTGATGATGATTCTTCAGAAGTCTACTGGGTCCTATTGAAAAGCAAGAGCTTTTGACCCAATAAATCTCTCTCTATTGCTTTTAATGTTGCTAGCTATTATACTTTGAACAGTGAGACCTGTGTTTTAGTTCTACCAGTTGCATGGGTTGTGAATTCAGCTGCCACTCTGAAAATCTCGGGGCACCAGTCCTCACCCACTATGCAATAGTCTAGTTTATGGACGGGTTGCTCCATATACCACTAGTGTTGCTTGAGGTAATTGTGTTGTCTTGATGGCTGCACCAAAGGCATCTGGATGTTCTCAGCAATGCACTTGGCTGTGCTATGGGTACCATGTGTTGGCTATATTCATTTAGCTACCCTGAAGGTATTGCCTCCAGTGCATAGATCATTTTTGCCTTTTGATTGGAGTTTTGTTTCCCAAAGCTTTTGGGACTTGTGGTCTGCTATTGGTCAGAGCATCATCTGTCCCATACACCTGGCTACTATGAGGAACACTCCAATTACCATTCTGGGGGTAAGTGAACAGGAAGACTAAAAAGGTGGTACTAATAAGAGACCTAGTGAAAACCCTTGTGCAAGAGGCTGTTGGCCAGGGACTCAGATCCTTTTGTTACTCAGTTCAGCTGAGGTACTGCGTACATAGAGAAATTCCCCTACTACGGTGGGCGAAATCCCCTGCTTACATGTGGGGAAAATAGAAATGGCATTCTCAATCTCAAAAAGCAAAATACATCTGTAGTCAAATCCTTGAGCACTGCAGGGTGAAATACAATGAGCTGTTTCCCTGGTGATCCAGTATATCACAAAATTCCTGGTGCAGCACATGGAGGTGGTAACAGTTAAAAGCAAGCAACAGTAGCAATGAAGCACATAGACTAAATTTTAAATAACCTCCATGCCTATCTCCTCCATTTTCAGCAACTTTAAAAATAATGGCTAGGGTGTCTGATTAAAACTGATACCAAACCCAACTGAAGCCAACAGCTGCAAGCAGGTTTTAATAAAATAGATATTGCAACTGCCTCAAAATTACCATGTTCAGGCTTCACAATTATTTGGGAAGTAGGAAGCAGAGGGCC